TTTCCGAATAGAGAAAGTAGACTTAGTGACCCCAAAACTTAGTTTGCACTCCTCTTATACAGGCTCTACCCATCATAGAGCCGTTTCAAACGTGTGCAGTTAATGGGAACGGTTTTGAACGTCATGGAATGGCAAAAACCGTTCCTAAATGATGGAATGAATGTAGACCATTTTCTGGGTTTGTTTCTCAAACGGTTACGGGAGAGGAAAAAACCTACACCTCACTCTAGGCGATGCTTACAACCTTGGAAAATCAGACGATTACATCGTGGAGAGTTAGCTGCACCCACTAATGTTATAAATAAAACCGTTGTTTTTGGCTTTACTCACGTCATATGGCATATTTCTATGTGTGCAGGGGCGGAGATAGGGGACCCAAGCCCTTTTTTTTAATATGTGAAAAATTTTATGGAATTTTTTTTTTCTTTTATGTATTAGCCCACTGCAAAAGAAAATTTGTCCTCCCCTGGCTCATCCTCTGTATGCAAGTCTTATCAGAAAAAGGATTAAATTGGTTTCAGGCCTCGTCTTCGTACTCGATAAATATTTGATATGTTTACCTCTAAGAATACAGATGACTAATCTGCCTTTTAAGATTATTGGCCTATGAAAACTGTGAATAGGATCGTTTCTGTGAATATTAGCACAACTCAAATCCATCCCTTGGCAATATATTGGTATGTAGGATTATTGTAGATTCTCTATTCCGTACAGATGAAGGTGAAAGAAGACGAGAAAAGGTGGAAAAACTAATCAGCAAAAAATTCTAGTGGAGGACTTACAGCAACAATAAAGAGCTGTTTCAATAGCTCAGAAGGTGAAATGTCCTCCAGAAAGTCCAGTATACCTTCCCTGCGCTCAGGTCACATGATCGTGGTCAATAAGTTTGTATTATTCACTATCCAAATATAGATATTGATATTTTACTGGAGCTTACACAGCCAGATCCTCATCATAAAGGGGACTTCGTCTAACAGCTGGTATTGGTTTTGCCGTCTCCCATAGTTCGCGCCAAAAATTACCTATGCATCAATCAGAAATGACGTATCAGCAAAGTTGTTATGTCTATAGTTAGTAGTTACACAAAATATTCCATCTTCTGTATCTACTTGGCAAGAAAACCCATTTCAGTCACAAAAATATGAAACCACTGGATTCTTTAAAATATTTTAAAACTGTGGTAAATAGGTATGTTGTTAGTTGGACCTCCGTTTTACTTTATCATTTTTCATTTATCACAAAAGATTATCGTTAATCAAATACCAACAGAAAGGAAAACAACTATGGTATCCACAAAGCCCATACTCAACATATCTTCAGCTTCAGACAAAGTCCTATTATAGAAAATAGCATTTCTTGCTTGCATTCCAAATGATAGTACATTCCTAATAATGACCAGCATTTGGATTATCGATCTTGAAGTCTAAACATATCATTATATCATTGTACAGATAACTTTTCATCTTCCAACCATGATTAGAAGTAGGAGAACCCATGCTATCTCTGAGACCAAGAATTATGCTCCTGTTTGAGCCTTCTCTACAAACTCATTTTTCTTCAAACTCGTTTTCAATCACATTCTTCAAATAAAATAATTTTGTCACATCGTGTTACTAAATACCACCTTTTAGATAGAGTTCACTTTGCTCTTCATTTCAACAGAAGGGGAAGGCTGTACTTCCAATAACTTCCCACCATTTCAACAGATGTTCTATGCATCAGAAGATATGAAGGTCATACAGATTGCATCACCTAATGTAAAGAAACTCTGAACTCTGGTTTCAAACCTATAATGCCATGACTCCACCTTTTTATTTGTAAAGTAGACTTACGGATGACAATGGCAATAAAATAATCTTATTGTCACGGGTAAGTGTTGACCGGCCATGATTTAGAATCCAGTACTTTTCCCAATCTTCTGTCTGTGCAAGTAAATCCTGGTCTTTGGAAAGGATCATACTACAGTATGCTAGGATAACAGACTAGGCAAGTGATCTTTGACTTGTACACTGAAAATGGCTGCTCTGTCTCCAACACAGTTAGCCCACATTCTCCTTCCAGCCAAGCAATGGACACTAGTTAGCGTTTGTGTATAATGTCATACATTCTAATCCTTATATATCATTTATTGATCTATCATCATTCCTGGAAGAGGAAATAAACCTCTTCAGAAAAATTTGCATACCAGATACACATACTTCCTAATCTTAAAAGAAGCACAACTTTAAAAAAGACTTGGCAGGAAGGATTTTTCCCTCAGCCACTTCAGTTTTTTCAGGTTACAATGACACATGACATGCTTCGTAAACTTCATTAGGAAAGACAGCAAAACTGAAATTCGGTTTCCACAATGATGTATTATGCCAACTGGCTATACAGTCTAATCAACAATTCAAGCGTGCCTATATGCAAAGCAAGGAAACCAACTCAAGGAGTAAACTGTAGCAACATATTTGATACCCGGAAACATGAAGTTTTCCGTCCTCTGCAAATACAATTCTGCAGACGGATCTTAAATTTTAAATTCCTTGGAATCCACTTGCTTCAGTAACAATTATGCACCAAAATGATGCCATTTTCTGCAGGATTTTTAGACATCCAATGGCTTCAGCGAGCTTAACAACAAAAGATTCAACAGGAGCACCATGAATATCCTTAATTAATGATGTAGTATTCGCATCTTCTACCAAACTAGAGCTAGACCTCCCTGAAAAAAGTCCTTATGCGAATATCTTGCACATATTACACCCGAAGTGAAAATCATCATAGAACAATGCAAAACTAAAAATAGTGAATTCAGAATTTCCAAAAAGAAGATAAGACACAAAGAAAGAAGATGCTCTCTGGAGTATCCCGACTATCTACCTGAATTTAGCAGTGAATTGATTACAGAAAGAACTCTCTCATCAGCACCAAACTCACTTGCTATCTTATCTTCCTTTTCACGTAATACTAGTGATTTCACTGCTGAGAAGCTTAAGCTAGCTCCCTCTCTGATAGGTGAAGAGCCTCTGGAAGAAGCAAGGAGATCCCTCATGGAGTTGTACACTAATCCAGCACTGAAAAGTCGCCAAAGAAAAACTAAGTACTATAGCCACTTTCAAACGTTCTTCAGGAACATTTAAGACTTCAATACATTGGCAACAGTTTGGTGAAAATAGAAGTAACTAGATTTTGCATATCAATTAATCCAGTAAGTTGGAGAGGAAATAATTCTCTTGAATAATTATTTAATAATATTGGTCTTTAACTTCTACATACCAAATGTTTCTCCATGTAATATCACATAAGCAAATGAGTTGACTAGTTCTAAATACAATCCAACGAAGTAGGAAAGCAAACAATCAGTATATTTGAGACAATAAAACTCAATGATTCTAACCAAGAGAACACTGTAAATAAATAAGCACAAAAATTGAAAAAAAAAAAATTGAAGAAGTTCCAAACATCAATGACAAGATCTTACTCGACAGCCAATTGTCACATGACAGCTGATGATGGAATGATATCAGCATTTACAGCATTTGAACCTTCCAGTGCAACTCCCGCTTTCGAATCCTGTAAGATATCAGACAATTGCAAAAGACTGTCAAAGAAATTCTGTTATTTCAGCTGAATAATAAAAATTATTAAATCTCTTCCAGATTATTCAAATTACGGATACAGTTTATTCATTTTCAATAGTTCGATGCCATGAAAATTATCTTCACATTTTGAGCAGCAAACATTAATGATGATATCATTCTTTAGTGAAGTGAATAAATAGGAAATACCACTTTCCCATAATCCCGCGTTTCATTAACAGACTAAACATATTGAGATTGATTGTCACATTATTCGTGATAAGATCCGGTCTGGTCTCCTCACTGCGGTACATACGTCATCACACGAGCAAATTGCAGACATCTTCACTAAAGCCTTAGGCCGAGAACTTTTTCACCATTTTTTACGCAAATTGGGCATTACGGACCTTCATGCACCAACGTGAGGGGGAGTCTTAACACAATCAAATTACAAGAAATCAGCCAAGGAATCATCACTAGCTCATTCACAGGCTAATTCTCAGGATCTCGTCTTGCAAGAAATCAACCAAGGAATCACCACCATAATTCTAGGAATAGCCATTAATTTGTAAATTATTCCCTTGTACATATTTATTTCCATACTTAGCCTAACTTCCTGTAGCTATTTAATCAGCACCGTATCACTGTAATTGGTATCAGAAATTCAACACTTCTCAGTTGAAGCAATTGAAAAACGACCTGAATTGTCATGCAAGTAAGAATTTATGCACCGTGCACAAAAATGTAGTAAGAAAATTGCACCAATCCGAAGAAACCAGAAAAAAGAACCAAATTGAAATCTGTATTATAATTTTAACATCAAGAACTTGGAGAAAATAGAGAACGTTAAAAATGCAACGAGGTGGATGG